GTTCATATGTCATATTCCTATAGGCGTTCAGAAGGTTGCCCTAATGAGAGGCTCTTTGCTATATAAACACACCCTGATTTCCAATAAGGACTGTATAGGAAAGATGGACAGCTCCTAATCATTAGGGAGGATTCAGGTTTGGGCTTTTTCACCTCCTCCTCCTCTCTCTCTCTTTCTCTATCTCTGTCCTGTGATCTATCATTCATGGGCTTCATTTAAAATTGCGTGAAATATTTAAAGTTGGTTGGATTCCTTCAGTGACCTCCCCCTCAGTGCCTGAAGTCAGTGGAGAAAGATATGCAGCAGAGAAAAACAGGGCAAAGAGGAAAGGTGTATAGGAGACGGTGAAGTAAGAAATGAAGAGCGAGGTGCAGTGTTACTTATAGCATTGAACAAAAAAGCAGTGTTGTTTGGAGTGGAGTGGCGCACTGTGTAGGCCGGTCACGATAAAGAATTTTAGTTGTGCGATATATTGTCACAGAAATTGTTGCAATCAGCGATATTATTTTCATTTTGAGATCATTTCTATGTCACTGCATGATTATATAATGCACGGGTTCTCAACCTTTTTCATTTCCACCTCCTTCTTCGAAAATTTTTTGAAGGCGCACGTCTGACATTATTTATTAAACTGATTGTTTAGAGAACATCCTTATTTTAAATCTTTATTTATTAGCAAAAATAATATTTTGCTTATACTATTATTATCTTATTTTTCTACAGCATTTGATAAAAAACTAAACAAGTTTATATATATATATATATATATATATATTATAGTATTTGGGCCTTGTCTTTAATAAATTAACTTGTACAGGACAAAGATGACAAAAAAAGAGCTGCTGCTTTGAATTGGACACTATGGACTACTATTCATCTAATGATCGTATCCAAAAAAAAAAAAAAAAAAAAAGTAAAATACAGAAAAAACACTCTAATTCTGTTGAAACACATCTATCTGACCACCAAGTCTTGCAACCCAGGCTCATTCTGAAAACGTAGTCCAGTGGACGTTTCTGGAGGCCGCGAAATATGTCCCGGGAGGTACGTATAGCTGAATTTCATTTTTTTAAGCGAACGCTACGGGGCGGTGTGACGCCGTTCCCTTTCGCGCTTGCCGGCTGACCACTTACCTCCGTGTGGAGGGCTTTCCCACTGCAGTCAGTTTGTCCGGTCAGCTAATCGTGTGCGTTGGCGGACTTCAGATGCAGAGAGGAGGAGTTGACAAAGGCGTCCGGGTTCGAGTCCGGGGAAGAGCGGTTCCAGAAACCAGGTAAGACAAAAACAGAATCCAAAAAATAAAGCGAGTTCGTGGTAAAAAAAACAAAAAACAGATGAGGGTTTTTATTTTTCTAGACAGCTTTTCTAAATTGTTCCTCGGGTTTAGGGAAGTGAGCGGGCAGGCGGGCTGGTCAATCGATAAAACTGGTTGGGTTCAGGGAAGGAGGAGGGTGGTTCAGCCGATTGGCCGGTCGCGCAGTCAATCATTCGGTCAGTAAGACAGTGGCCTCTGGTGGGTTGACGCGAGAACAGCGCGGGCGCAAACGGCAGTCGCGAGAGATGTTCGAGATACGAAAAAGCACACACAGCGGCCTCTCTTGGATTTGCGAAAACAAAAATTGCACAAATACATATCTCCCAGGATGTATTTCGCAGTCTCCAGAAACGTCCAATGGACTACGTTTTCAGAATGAGCCTGGGTTGAAGTCTTGCTAGATTCTCCTATGTGGGCGCGCATCTGTTATAAAACACTCACACTTGCATTATGGAACACTAGTTTGGACGTGAGGCATGCACAAACTGGTTAGAACTGTTCACTGTTACCTTTATATTTGATGGACAGTTCGTTTAATACAGCTGAGCATGTTGTCCTAGTTGACGTGCAGCGGTTGGAAGTGCAGCCACGGTTAAGTTTGTATTTTATAGTGAGGCTTTTTTTGCAGATTCCGAAGTAATCAATAACAGAAAAAGGGAAATGCCATTACACCAATGATTTTTATATAAATCACCTTTAATCATGAAATCAAATAATTATAGTACAATAACAAAGTTAAGTTTAAGCTATCTCGCAGGATCGCTGAGGCCGTGGCCCACCGGTTGAGAATCCCTGATATCATGCTTATATAACAGCATAGTAATGCAAATATTCATGAACACTTTAAAATACTTGAGGTCTTCTCAAAGTATTGATGTTTTCAGCCTGTTGCTTACTTTTTTTAGATTTTGCTTTTGCTTTATCAAGTTTCTAGAACCTTTTTTGCTGGATACGAACCCCATCGTCGCAGTCAACTCTAGTTCACTGCGAGCCACTGGGCAAACTGGTAACACCGCAAATACGGAGGTAAGCGGTCAGTCGGTTGCACTAAAAGGAACGGAAGCAGCATCATACAACCTCGTAGCATTGGTTTTAAAGGCGAAATGAAGTCAGACATACCTTTGGCTACTTGATTTGCGATCTCCAGAAATGTAGACAGGGGTACATATTCTCAATGAGCCTGTGTTGCATCTAAAACTCAAATCTGTCTTTCAAATTTTATCACAGGGCAATGAAATATCAACAGGTCAAAAATATCTTGTTGCGCCATGACTGATCGTGCCTGGTGTGAATCGCTCCATTAGGAATCTAGTTTTTATTCAAGTGCTCCATTGTGTTGCACATTTGCACTATTTAATCACACCCAAAGTGAAAGGGCCTTTATTGGGAGCAATTAATTAGAGAGCTGTCTTTTCATTATAAAATTGCCACAATTAAAGGTTCAAGACACCTTTGAGTACTTAAATTTTTTTTTTACAGATTTGTGTGTATTGAGCATCAGTTAGGACAACGTTAGCACCTGTTAGCTTTAATGGTGGGTAATTTGAGCTTTTGTCAGCAAATTTCACCTTTCATCTCGCGAATCTGCTAGTGGAGTGATGACGCTTCGGTTTCTCTTTATTATTCACAGCTGAGACTTCTTATCTCATGACTTGAACCTGCTTCTTAATTATTTATGAGAGCGCGTGCTTTCTGAAGCAAGGCAGACCTGCCAAGTTGTGAGACCCAATGACTGAGTGAGACTGCGTCCGCGCACGGCATGCAGTATTTAGCCGTTCATGAAGGGTCGTAACGTTATGTATTTGTTGATTCACATGGTTTGTTGCATGGCTTTTCTCGCGATGCAGTCAGGGTCGATACAGCAAAGCTGTTGGTTTGCTGGAAGCATTTTTGTTGAGAGAGCTGTACGAGAATTGGAGAATGGCAGACTTTGTTTTTTATCAGTTGAGTTTGTTACCATTCAGACACATTGCCCACGTCCGTGCTGCTGTGTTCGCCTATTTGTTTAAAATCCTCCGGATTACCTGCAGGGTTAATGGTTGGATTAGACAGGGCAAGAGACCTGCGGCACTGATATCCACTGTGTCTGCATTCAGACCTCCTCATTTGATTATCTTTATAATGATATAACAAATTGTGGTTAGGTGTATTGGAGATTACGAATAACATATGTAGCAGGGCATTAAACTAGTGTTTTTTTTTTTTGCATTTTAACTTTGTAAACTGTAAAATCATGGGTCTCCTCACGGTTTGTGTCTCATTTTGTGAGATGAATGACAAAAGTTGTTTGCTCTCGTCTTTCCCCTTTGCTCTGCAGACCACACCCACTCCTCGCTCTGCTCGCAGAGCTCCACGCCCATCATGGAGCATTTTTTGAAAAGATTCTGAGGTACCAAAAGAGGAGGGTTCATGGACCTTTAAGATTTGATTTCTTTAAAAATCAGAGATCTTCAATGCCTGATAGATATATGATATGAAGTGTGTCTCTGACCGGACAAGAAGCACTGCATTAAATTTCCTTTCCCCCTACCATGTCTTTAAAATATGAAAGATTTTGCTCCAGTAATTTCAATAGAGTCTGGCTGCAGTTTTGCATTTGCACCTCCAGGCTTGAACCCTCGGACTTGCACGCTCAAGCAACCGCGCTTCCTCTGCAAGTGACATCATTTACAATTGCCACTTGTGGCCGATTGCATGAAAGTACTTCGGTAATTTAACTTAAGGGTGTCCCAGAGGCGGAAAAATTTCATTAAGATCGTTGCAACGAACTTCTTATCTGTCACCCTTACTAAAGTGCCTTTTTTTCTAAGTGTTTCACTGTAGTTTCTGGCAACATACGGCAACGGGCACCACAGTTGCTATAGTTATGTAAACAGATCGAAACAAACCACGAATTCTTGCTTTACAACAGATTTGCAGTAATGTTACCTATCATCTGTGCCGCTTTCATTCCGTTAAGCGAGTCGAGACATTCCCTTATCGAGTCGATCTCGACATTATGTTTGGAAGACCTATTAAACTGGGCTGGGATCATGTAGAGACTGTTGAAGTTGGTGGTCTGTCATGGTGTACAACTTAAGTACTTAGAATAATTTGACAACGTCGTCACTGAAAACGCAAATGAACTTGAACTTACTTTTGGTTTATGTGTGTTGATTTCAAGTGATGTGACAGGTGCAGGTGTTGATTGTAAATGACTTCACTTGCATAGGAAGCGTGGGTGCCTGAGTGTGCAAGCCCGAGAGTGCAAGCCTGAAGATGCAAGCGCAACTCTGCAGCCTGACCCTTCTCAGAAATTTCAATCTAGTTTCTGCGCTTGCTTGCTGCTCCTGACGGCACTAGTGGTTACACATTTTTTTTGAACAACTAAATGAATGCTTAAGTCTATTTCACTGAATGTATTGTAATTACATTACAACATCGATGCTGTAAAAGGAACCTTATGAAATTGAAAATAGTCACATTAAGCTTTCACTGTTAGTTTATCAGTGGCTGAAAAACACTAGCTATGCTTATACCCCGTTGCTGGTCATCCTAAGCATTCACACTGACTGATTAACTCCCAATGGATTAATGCACCAAAGATCTCAAATGCTACTTAACCAATCTCTGATCAATAAAATCGCCCTTTGATTTCACAGATCAAGAAATAAAACATCTAAAGTAAAACACTTTTAAAAGGAAGCATTTTTCCCCTTTTATTTAGCTTTGCCGTAGGAAGTTACAGTGAGATCAGTATAATAGAAGACACAGATTGAAATATTCCTGCTAATTGAAAACCTGGTGAAGATACCGTGAGGTGGAAAAAACCCAAAACATATCAGAAATACCCGTGAGAATCTGTCCAAAGTAAAGGAGATTCACTCAGCCACCGCCAAAACATGTCAGAAAAACAAAGGCCTTGGTACAAGTGCACTGGATTGCCATTTATTGTATGTGGAAGCAAAAGTCAGCAGGGCTACATGGGAATATTTCCCTTACCTGAAACCTGTACGTAACTAAAAAAAGGCTTTGATTACAGATCATAGAAAGACCGGGACACAAACATAGGAGGGAAAGAGGAACACAAAAGAAAGAACGCAAAGAATAAGCACTGATGTTCGGCATTCACTTATGATGAGGAGAATGTAAAAGAAATGATGCCAGATAGTAACAAATCCAAGAAAAGTTTATTATGAATATGGCACCTGTAAGATGGTAAAAAAACCGTGTTACAGAAAGACAACCATGTATGACATGTCGCTTTAACTGATGAAAACCTACAAAAGTATAAAATAACCCTGTTGTAAAATGAAGTATGTACATTTTTGAATTGCAGCATTATTCATGGTAAATAAATGAACAAAGGAAAATAAGCCAGGCACTCAAAGTTAGCTTCAGTTAGTCGTTTTTTTTTTCTCGTCTGGGAAAACAAAACAAATAAAAACAAAATCAAAATGTACCATAGTTTGTCTCTTTTTTAATACTTTAATTTGTTCGTACTTAGAATTTTATAACACTGTTAACACTGATACTAAGAGAATCCCCGTTCGCCCGTATTCTTCTACTTGGCACCAAGTTCCTCATAAAAGAATCTGTATAATTGTACAAGAAATAGTTAAAAACACAGACACAGTCTTCACAGGTAATGAAGTGATTTCTCATATTGTAATTTTAAACACTATTTATCTGACAGCAGCTGAGATTAGTTTAAGATTAAATCACCAGCAATCATTTTGACACAACACAGATACATTGAGACAGCTCGCCCGGCTGTTCTGTTAGTAACATATGGGTGTATTTCCTGGTCCACAGTGTCTGTTTTTTTATTTTTTTATTTTATTTTGGAGCTTCCCCCAAACCCTCTGCTCTATGTACAAAATGCTAAAATCTAGGATCCTGTTAACCTGGAGCAGCGGCGCACCTGCAACCGTTCCCGTCGTTTTTAAAAACACATTGATATCATGACCTGGGTTTGAGTAACAACACGTCTTCACAGAAACCACAGACACAAGTTTCCTGATGTCGGGGGAGGGGAAAGCCTGATTTAGGTAAAAAGACGAAGGCCCCCCTTCCCCCTTTCCCTTTGCTGGACAGACTAAAAAACACTAAACATCGACAAAGCCGCTGGACCGAACACAAAATCAAGTAAACCGAACGATCAACTTAGTAAACATGCATTTCCAAAACACCTATAAAAATAGATTTTATAGTGCGAAATATTTTGTCATCTCTTTAGAAATCTTTAAAATTGTTTATTGTCCTGAAATACTACCGTCATCTTTTTATTATTATTATTATTATTATTATTATTATTATTATTATTTCCTGTGAGTTGCAGGGTCCTTGAAGTCAACAGGTTTGGTGGAAACCAATGAAATACACCCAATGCACAAGAGAAGCACAAGGGACTCTGGGAATGTTTCACATCTGAGGCTTTTAAGGTTCCAGTCTCGGCTAAATGCTACTTCGGTTTGTTTTTTAATATATATATTTATATATATTCCTCATCACGCTTCATGAGCTGGAAACTGCAATCCCAGAATTCCTCAGTGGCAAAAAAATGGCTCCTTAAACCTTTGAGCTAGTTTAGAGTCTTTTATCTCTGAGAAGACAGAGAAAGAGAGGTCTGTAGACTACACGACAGCAAAGCAATAGCGGAAACAGAAAAAAGTAATACGTACAAAAAGGAAGCAGCAAAAAAGGTGACACTACATTGGAAGGCCACCACACAAAATCCACTAACCTCCACTGGTTCACTAAGACTGCAAGGGGGCCGGAAGGAGAAGCCGGAAGTTTCCCCAACACAAACCCGGACTAGCACAGAGAGGACAAAGGACAAAACAGCTACATTAGCTCAGTATATACTGCATATAGTAACACACACTTAAGTTGCTATGGAGACTGACAGCCAATGACACTTACACATTGTACAAGTTTACGGTTATCACGCTGCGTAATAGATGACTTGATGGACGGCTGTCAAAGGATGAAGTGACAGTATTCTTCCGTTTTATTATTACTTAGTTTTTTTTTCTTTTAAAACATCAAATCACAGTGTTTTAACACCAAACTGTGAGAGCAAAGTTTTTTTTTGGCAACAGTGGATAAAAATTAGGAATGTGGATCTTCAAAACACATTTCTGATTGAAAATGCATGTCCTTATTACAATCTCCGTTTGATATGTGATTTTTCAGAGAGAGTTAAGGGGTAAGGGATGAAGGGGAGCTGATTTCGGAAAGGACACCAGGCTTTTAAGCTAAAGAGGGAGTGTAAACGATTAAGCCCAAAAAATGAATAGTAAAATCTCTCAAACGATTGAGACAAGCTCTGAGCAAAGCCTGGTGGAGTTTAACATTCATCTTCAAGTTTGCGATGCAAAATTAGTCTCAGTTGCACTGAGAGATAACATAAAAGAAAGAAACAATCAACTTTTCGGTATCCATTTCCGGACTCAATCAGATTGAGTTCAAATGCTCTCCGTCAACGTAATGCTAATAAAAATGAGAACAAATCAAGTCTGTTAGAGGTTTGACTTTTCTGTAGAAAAGCTCTGAAGCCGCCATTTTGTTTCTGGAGTTCCGGAACAGTACCTACATCAGCCAGCTGAGTGAGGGTAACTCAATGATAGCACCATGGATCTGCAAACAGAAGATGGAACTGGAAAAATCTCACACTGACCTGTTCCATGTCCTGGGATTTTGTAATAACATTCTATTCACAGGTCAATACCCGGCTAAAATTGCTTTTTTAAAATGCATGATTTGCAAGTTAAGTTGAGCTATAAAAAACCAAGAAAAAGCGTTATTTGTAAAATACTATTCCCCCTTTAGAAAGAACCTTAAAACCCTTTGAACTACATCAAGTTGGGTAACATCCTTTTGTCAGCATGGATCTCGATTACATCGAGATACCGTTAGAAATATGAACAGTTTCCTTTCTTGTCAATTTTCTTCTTCCAATACCTTTAGGACATCCTAACGAGGACGTTACATACTCTGGACAAATAAGCTCACCGCAGAGAAAACACACGCTACAGTGCTATGAATTCCCTGTGGCTCAGAAGGAACTCTTTATAATAGAGATGAGTCTGTTTAGTCCTTTTAGAGAAACCGTCATCAAGAACTTGTGTGAGGAGGCGAGGACGAAGAAAGAGAAAGAGATAGAAAGATAGAAAGACACAGGAAGAGAAACCATTCATGTCAATTACACAAGCTCTCAATTGCTCAAAATTCAAAGTGCTAGAACATCTCACTTTTCCCCAACTTTGATACACAGTCTTTTGCCTCAGAAGAGTCTTTTAAACACAGTTGAACACAGTAATATGGTCTCGATGTTTTGCTTCAATCCTCCTTGCGATCCAGAGTCTGTGTGTTGTGGATGCCGTTGCTGTAGACGGGAAATGGAAGCGTGGAAAACAGTCCCTCTGCTGTGGTGAAGACGTTAGCAGCTGGCATCTGCGTTAGCCCGGCTCCACTAACTGCACCCCCAAAGGGGGTGGACATGTTGAGCCTGTGCACATGATGATAAAGCATCTCCATGGGTGTCTTGGGGTCTATGCCAAAGCCAGGTCCATCCACAAAGTTCACAGCGGTGTGGGCGTTCGGCAGGAGGTTGCCCTGCATGGCCAGGCTGACGTCTGCCGGGGCGTATCGGATGGTTCCAGTGGTGTAGACTCGTGGGGAAGCTGTGCTGGTGGCTGCGGCAAGCGTACCTGTGACTCTGTGCACCAATGGAAGCACCACATTCCCCGCTTGTAGCCTCTGCAAGGCTTCCAGATCACTAGTGTAGAGCAGGGAACCGGAGGAGGTTGGCGTACCCTGCTGCTTGTCCCGTGGTGAGGCCGAGAGAGGTGGGGAAAGCGGGTCAGCAGTGGTGGAACTGGAAGGAGGAACCAAGCTGCCCGAAGTTGCACTGGACACGGAGGTGGCTGCATTGTTATTGTTGCCGCTGCTACTGTTGCCATTAAAGTTTGGCTTTCTGCTGCCTCCTCCACTCTCGGCACCAGGTGGAGTGAGGACGGAATCGGGAATGGACACCTGCAGGCCGGCTGGCGGGGGGGATGGGAAGGTGTCATGGGGTTTTGTCATGCTGTAGGGGGACTCGTTGCGAGAGATCTCTCGGTTGGGTGGGTAGTTCCAGATGCTGCTGTCATTGTCGAAGTTTATAGGTTCCGACATCTCAGTCTTGATCTTCAGCACGGAGGAACTTGTCGGGGAGGGTGGAAGCAGGAGGGGCGGCTGGTCTCCCAGGGTGGGGTCTAGACTGCCAGGGCTGGGGGTGGCAGCGGCTGAGGGAGACAGACGGAGACGCTGGCGGCTACCATCCCACTTCTGCTTTTTTCTCCTCTTCTTTCTCTTCTGGTGTTTACTCATCGCTGGCCCGCTCAGCTCTCCTCCACTGTTGCAGTCCTTCACAATATCTTCCACATCATCTTCTTCTTCGTCTTCAGAGGAGCAAGAAGAGGACGAGTCCTGCAGACCTTCCATCTCGCCATCACCATAATGCTCCACCTTTATGTGTAAACCCCCCAGACGACCCTCCTTGTGGTCGGTTTCACAGTCGGAAGGTTCCAGACTGTCATCGCTGTCCTGACTTTCGGGATTGCTGGAACTGTCCCCTTCCTCCTGTCGTCTCATCTCTTGCTCTGGCGGCCGGCCCGTCTGTTTCTTACTGTCTGCCTCTGGATCTTCACTGTTCTCAGAAGACTGATTCCCCTTGCCATCTGACTTGGAGTTTTCATTGTCTTCTGGGAAAAAGGAAAAAGGTTTAGAGGACAAGGCTCCTCATACATCATAAGGCAAAGTGAGATTCCTTGCACAATAATCATAGTTTTTCATTTAGGATATTCATTTAAATTGTAGACAGATGGAAGTGGTCCAGTTGGATATATTAGGCTTTTTAAGAGCCGGACACAATTACATGAGGGACATAAAGTACTCTTAGATATTCTATATATCTTTGATGATATATATATA